TTTAAAGTAAAAATCGCTTTTAATTTTGATTTTTAATATTTATTGTTTCCAATATTTCGATTGGATTCTCCAATCAAATATGGAGATGGATCTAAGCATATTTTTACAAATATACAAGAAACCACCTACACTGGTATTCGAACCCGGGATCCATTTCGCACACTATCCACTGCACTACACTTTGCATAATTCTTTAAGATAACTTTGATAAATTATATAAATTTTACTATCAAATTTGCTGCTAACCGCAATGGGTTAATTACACCAAAACATAAATCTTTAAAACATATTCATGTTCCTTATAACTCGATGTTCGTGTTTTCCAACTCTAAACCCTGCATCTCCATCCTTCTCCCCCCCGTTCAGTGTTCTTTTCAACATATCATAAATCATAAACTTATAAAATTTAGTGATATGGAATTATCTACAAGGTTTGAGCACACACTTGCAGACACAGATACACTCATACATTCAAATGCACTTGGAAAATATAGAAGGAAACCTGTTCCGCACAGACTTTACATCAATATTTCATGGTCAATGCAGCGTAGCATGGTGTTTACATGCAGCATACCCTCTCTTCCTCCCTTCTTCACTATCCTAATGACTAGAGAGAATAGTGGTCAAAATGCTGACCATAGGAGTAGTATAACACACACTTGTATTGAAGCATTCACTTGTACCTTGTGTACATGTAAAATGCAACATGAAATCTTGTCCAGAGACCATGATGGTTGGCTGAGTCCAAGATATTAACCTATCTTTACATTAATGGTAGAGTACTTTACGTTTATTAGAGTAATTTCTAACAAACGCAGTAACAACAACATTATGGCGAACTCTGAAATTGAACAAAGAAAACCATAAAGGAGTCCAATACCGGTTGCCGGTATGATGTAGGTGGAAATCTGGGGGAGGTAAGGTATCGGTGCACACACATGTTGCAGTTACTCGTTTTTTGATATTTATGACCATGACCAGGTTGCCAGTGTACTTTGCTCCTGGGGCTCCACAGAGAACCTCTTCTTTCACCTCCTAATGGACAAAATAATTTATTTTTGTTTTATGCCAAGAAGACGACACACACAACAAGTTTGTGTTGTTGTTGTTGGTAAACATGAAAGTCTAATTTTTGCCAGAGGATTTTTTACTTTTTCTTCGGGCTTTTCTTGGAAAATTGGGAATCATCGTGGCATGGAGGAAAAAAGGAAAATTTATTTTCTAATATGTTATTATTATTTTTTGTTCATTGTTGTTGTTCTTCTTCTTTTGAAAGATACTCGTTAATAAGTGATTTTTATGAGTCTAGCCAGTCAGTATTGCCTGGGTTGCAACAATAAATTTATTTTAAAAGGTCTCTGAGGAGAATACATTTTTCCCAAAACTTTGTCATTTGGGAATAACATGAACAAAAAACAACATACGAGGGCTACTATATACATTTTCATATGAAAATTTGTCATTTTATAGCAATAACGTACTCAGTATGGTGTTGTGTTGTTTGCAGTAACTTGAAAAAGGGGTAAAAATCGGAAAACAAAATACGAGATCTACTAAATATGTTTCTGATCTTGTTATTGGCAAGTTTGCTTTTTTCAGGATAATCATACTCAGTACGGTCTGATGTACAATCATGTGTTGTGTTTTTAACAATAACTTGAAAATGGAATTGAGTCCTGAAAATGGAATTGAGTCTATAGCAATGTGAAAATCTGGTTCAAGAAATTCAACCATGGCGGACACTCGCTTAAACACGACAGTGCAATGCAATATCGTTATGTGACATCCCGTGAGATAAAGACCATCGATATTGTATAACCACCTGGGAGTTAACAAAGTTTTGTTCACATTAGACACCGTACAATTTGACAATCGTCCAAAAAAGCCGGGTGTAGATTTGCAAATATTTTTTTTTTTAAATACGATCCCTATAGGCTTCAAGTTGTTAACTATTGTTTATATTCACGGAACACGTATCTACTGTTCTATTGTAGCCTGTCTGAGATGATGGGTCTGCCACCTATCGTTGTCTAGACACAACAACTCCTTGAAATTTGACCAGCGGTTGGGATCTTTGATAATCTAGAGTTGCCATGTTTCTCTGACGATTGGTGGATCTATTTGTTTATAGATCGATCCAAAACAGCAATAGATGTGGGTCTTCGAAGACATGCGAAATCCAACCTAAGGTTTTTGTGTAAGAAGCTCTTCGAAGCGAAGAAGAAGCTCTTTGGCAAATCGTGTCATATGACGACTGTTCCGCTTAAGCAAGGTAACAACGGTCAATTCTGTGTGGTGCACCACAATTTGTTTGCCTTGAAGTATTCGGAGAAATTAGAAAAACAAATGCATGCAGCATGCATCCGATATTGAATAAACATCTGGCAGTTTGCAAAGTTTTGTTCTCATCTTTAAAAAAAACTGGTGTCGATTGGTGCAAATAAAATTTAAAATAAATACGATCTCTATAGGCTTCAAGTCGTTAATCATTTCATTGTTTTTATTCTTTGAAATGTTTACAGCGATTGGGTTATTTGATAATCTAATCTAATAATAATTGACATGTTTCTCTGGGTGGCGCTATCTGCTGCCATTCCTATGTAAGATCGTCACAGCTGACAAATGATATATCTATGTGTTTTGAGACCGAACATCAATAAACCACGTAAGTCTTCCATGAAGTGTTAATCATTACATTATTTTAATTCACGGAAAGTAGATAAGTTGTCTGCTGTAGCCTACCAGAGATGATGGGTCTGCCATCTATCGTTGCCTAGAAACAACGTCTCCTGGACATTTTTGGAGCGGTTGGGATATTTGATAATCTAGTTTTTCTCTAGGTGGCGGTATCTGCTGCTATTCTTATACAAGATCGTCACAAGTGTCGAATGATGGTTCTATTTATTTGCGACCGAACCAAAACAGCGATGGTTTTTCGAAGACGTGCGCTTCTTACAACCAAAGTTTTTCGTGTAAGAAGCACTTCGAAGCAATTAGATTCCGGTTTCGTCGGCAAAACTGGTCATATGACGACAGTTCCGTTTAAGCAATTCTGATTGGTGAACATCAATTTTTTGGCTGAAATCTTCGGATAAATTAGAAAAAGAAAAAATCACGGCAGATATTTCAAATTTTGCCAGCGGTTGAAATTAGCTCCTAAATGAAGGCTCCCCATTTTAGGTACTTTGAAGGTCCTAGACGTATTTTAATTAGTCATTTTAGGGTTTCAGATGTTATGTGTTCATTATGCATAGGCCTATGTTTCAGTAAATTTAAGGCCTCCTAGCAGACATTTTCAATTAAAATCCCTCTTCTGATATGTCCCTCACGCCCGACTTTAGGCCTCTTCTCGCCGAATTGGCTGTAATTTGTCGTATATTTGGATATAAATATAATTCCCATTATAGGTATCTGGTATATCCCTAAATGATTTTTCATAGGACAAAATACATCATGGTAGGAAAAAGGTTTTTTTCAGCCGAAGTAAGGTTCATGTTTCAACAAAATCCCATCTAAGGCTCTCGATCGATTTGAGCCATTTTAAAGGTCATTGTCGTATTTTTTAACCTAGGCAAATCTTCAATAAAAATACATCCAGGACTTCTTCAATAAAAAGACCTTTAGGCCATTCTCTATAAAAAAAGACTTCCAGGTCTTCTATAAATGGTTTATTGTCTTTCGCTAAGAAGAACTACTGGTCTCCTATGGGAACACCTATAGCTCTTCTATAAGAAGAGTTCCAGATCCTCTATAAGTAGACTTCCAGCACTTCAATAAGAATACCTCCAGGTCTTCTGTAAGAGTTCTTCGATAAGTCTTTAATAAGAAGACCTCCAGGTTCTCAATAAGAAAACCTCTGGTCTTCAATAAGACGACTTCGAGGTCTTCAATAAGAAGAATTCCAGGTCTTCAATAAGAAAACATTTAGGTCTTCTATTCCAAAGGTTTTCAATAAGAACACCTCCAACTCTTCTATAAGAACACATCCAGGTCTTCAATAAGAAGACCTCCAAAGATCTTCAATAACAAGACCTACCGGTATTCAATAAGAAGACTTCAATGTATTCAATAAGAAGACTGGTGGTCTTCTTGTATTCAATAAGAAGACCACCAGGTGTTTAGTAAGAATACCTCCAGGTCTTCAGTAAGAAAAACTCTGGGCCTTCGATACAAAACCTTCAGTTTTTTATATGAAGATCTACATGTTTTCACTACAAAAATCCAGGAGAAGATTTTGTTTGGGAACAACTACTGGGCTTCGTAAGAAGACATGCTGGTTTTCTATGGGAAGACCGACTGGTTTTCTATGAGAGGACAGACTGGATTTCATCGATCAAAACCCAATACTTTGTTATGAGGAAACCTACAGTTATTCTATGAAAATACCAACAGCTCTTCTATAAAAAAGACTGGGTTTCTATGATAAAACTCATTGATCATTTATTAGAAGGATTGGTATTATTCTGCAAGGAGATCTGCTGAAAACTCACTACTACTAATACTGAACCCTGGTCTTCCATAAGAAGACACGTTGCTTTTCTAGAAGATGTCCTATAGATCTTTTTTAGGACCTCCTGGTTGACTACGAGTAGAACAGACTTATAAATTCAAACCAGAATCACTTGGGGTCACAACACAATAACCCTATTAAAAACTAATCTATTTGCATACCCCTGTGGATATCAATCACCTACAACTGTACTTTTCCAAGTACCTTTGCACCTCAAGTCTAAACAACAAACAAGTCACATGACCACATATCATTTACAAGGTCATGACACATCAACCGATTTATGTTATTTTCTGTTTTCTAACACTTTTGCGGTTTCCTTTGGCTTGGGAATTATTTCGAAAAGAAAAGAAAAAACAGAACGAGAAATGACAACAAAAAGAATGGGTTTTAAGCTGTGTGAAATGACATTCACAATATTACTCATATTACAATATATATTTTTTAAATAATATTTTGTTTCTTTTTTTCTAAAAAATAGATAATAAATTCAAAATGAACTTACATGATTTAATCTGGCGGCAATTTTTGTATGCTCCTCCTGGTATGTTTTCTTGGCCTTGCGCTTATCCTGCGACAAGTGGGCCAATTTGTCGCACACCACTTCCAGTTGTTCGGCATTGAATTTAAATTGTTTAGCTTGTTGATCCAATTCATCCATATAGGAACGCCAGGATTTTGTTATGAGACTGCCTGTAAAGTCAGAACAAAATAATGGAAGATATTTAGAACACTTAAAAGTCAAGAAACATGTGAAATTATTATAATTTACTATTCCAGATATAAAACCAGTATAAAAAATGACCTTAATTTCAATATAAAACAAGTGAAAAAGCGTTAAGTTCGGCCGGGCCGAACTTTGATACCCTACACAACTACCACGATATACTGACATTCCGGTATTTGAAATAAAAATATAGGGCAATATTTCGTGATAGTTTCACCCTGTTGCCCGATTACAAATAAACAGCACCTCTTCCTTACACTGACATATATTCCAAATATTACTAATATTCAGTACAGCCCTTCTAATTACTTGTCCAGATTGCCTTCATGGTGGTTTGTGTTGTGATGTTCGGCTCTCAATTGTGGTCTATAGATCGACTCGAAAAAACACAAAAAATTAAGTTTTTGGTCCAATTCATCCCAAAATTATTATCTGATCATCACCGAAAATTGTAGCCGTTATTCTTATATGGATCTATGGAAAATTTATAATTTTTGCTATATTTTTTTTTCTAGTGTGGTAGATGTGTTACTAAATAATATATGAATTACAGAACCTGTAAATATGTAAGTGTAACTCCCACAATCCGAAAATTAGTACATATGACAATATAATTGATATCATTTATATTTTTTTGTGTATCAATTTATACCCTATAAGAACTTAATGTACCAAATTTATACGGTTGAAAAACACATTTTGTAATTTTTCACACAAAATTGGGGGTACCCTTATATGGGGGCTACCAGAAAAAATGGACATATACTTATAATTTTTTGTGGAGAGATTTGGTACCTATTAAGAACTCAAAATACAAAATTACAGCCAATTCGGCGAATAAACCGCTCAAAACCCTCATAATACAGAAAAATAGGAGGTACCGTTATATCAGGGGTGGTACCAGAAAAAGTGGACCGATATGTATAATTTTTAGTGGAGATATTTGGTACCCAATAAGAACCCAATGTATAAAATTCCAGCGAATTCGGATGATGCGTCCAAGAACCGCAAAATACCGAAAATTGGGAGGTACCGTTATATGGGAGCTATGCTTAAACGTGGACCGATATATCCCATCTTCGAACTTGACCTGCCTGCAGACAAAAGACAAACCTATTCAGCACCTTCTCTCAATTCCTTCAGAAGATAGCGTGATTACAACAGACGGACGGACGGACATTGGTAGATCGTCTTAGAATTTTACCCTGATAAAGAATGTATATACTTTATAGGGTCGGAAATGAATATTTCGATGAGTTACAAACGGGATGACAAAATTAATATACCCTCTATACTACGGTGGAGGGTATAAAAAATTCGGTTCAAATATGTGGGGGATCCGCAAATGGTCTACTGAGATTTATGGTAAAAATTTCAGACGAATCCGATAGCTTTTCTTAATCTACAGCTTATACGAAATTTGTTAGTGCTCACAGGTAAATGATTTTCTGAACAAGGGGAAAACATACGAATATCGATTTCTTGTCATTGGGCGCCATATCTAAAATCCTATGTCAAAAAAATATCGTCTTGGCCCAAGGACTCGATATAGAAGAAGGAATTGTTTTAAAAAAATATTCCTCATTCGAAAAAACTTCTCTCAGAAATTTCTGTGGTATTTTCCGCATTTTTGGCCTTTAAATTTCCCATGATGGAGTTCATGGCGTATATTGCTTAATATCAATTTGAATATTCAAATATTTGCCTCGATATATAAAAAATCACGCTAATCAAAAATTTCAATTCAATAAAATTTAAAGTCGCCGCAGCATTAAAGTAACATTCAACATGAAATGCAGTTCAAATTCTATTGTTTTTCGATTTTGTTTGGTTTTTTTTGGGAAAGGTCAATAAAGTAGCTGAAATCAATGGAAACAATAGGTTTTATTGTATTTGGCGTGACAAACAATAAAAAATCTTCCTCTTCGTTATCAATGCCGGAATATAAAATATTGCTTTATTAATTATTAACATTTTGATAAATTAAAAAAAAAAAAACGAACTAAAAATCTCATTCATTTGTCATCTAAGATTGATCGGAGGGTGTTGGCCACAATAATGTCAAACAGGAATTGAATTTCAGCATTTATTATTACCATAAAGTTTTTTTTTTAAATGCCATGATTTTGTTATTCACAACTATATTCGAAAAAAAAAACTGAAAACAATGGAAAACTATTTTAAACATTGTATATATTTTTTCTTTAGTCACACCTTGAAGTTGAAAAGTGAAATTCCCCCGTTTTTGGTGATATTTTCATGACTACTCTGTCGTTGTTGTTTTTCTTCATTTTTTGATTTGTTGTCAGCATTTTTCCTTCAATTAGCTATGCCATAATTGACTTTGGACCAGAAACCAAACCATCCATGGGGCCATGGACATGAAGTGTTGGCTTGGGAAATACATGATAAGCATCACATTGAAAGATGAAATGAATTTGTAACTCCACAATTATCTTTAAGATAATGATCATACAATGATCGCATTTTAAGTTTGTGACAACTATGGGAAAATACTATCCATTGTATTATGCAGTGGAAAAACGATTTATAATTTACATTTTTAAAATGTTTTTTGTTTTGCCAAAATTAATGGAATCCAATGAATTTTAAAGTTGTTACATGATTTTCCGACCGGTACTTATCGTTATGAAAAATGGCCTATTGTTGTAGGAAAATGTCTTAATTGACATACAAAACGTACTTCAAGATCTTAACAATAGTTTGGAACACGTTTAAAAAATTGTTACAATAGATATATGGATTGAAGATTCATTATAATGCTTATACAAATGAAAAAAAAAACAAGTGAAAACAGTAAGAAAAGTGCAAAAGTCGGACGGGGCCAACTATATGTACAATATCATTTAGATAGAATAGACATAGCATCTTTAGAGGACCATTGAAATGGAATCGTACGAAATTAACTGCTGAAAAATTGAATGTCAAGCAACCGTGGCATCCACCATTTGATTTCTGTCTCAATCGGACAAATATTGGCAGTATGGTGCTCCATTTATATAAGCTATATATGGGAGTTATATCTAAATGTGAACCGATTCCAACAAAACTTCGCATACATAAATTTGGATCTAACTCAGTACGCTGCGCAAATTTTGTGCCAATCGGCCTAAATTTGACTCTTTGATGCTCCATTTACATAAAATCGGACGAAACTATATTCTGAAGCTATATCTAAATCTGAACAGAAGGCCACAAAACTTCGCATAAATCAATCTGGACCTAATTCAGTACTCTATGTAAAATGTTGTCTCAATTGGAACAATATTGGGAGTTTGGTCTACCATTTACATAGAATCGGACGAAACTATACATGGGAGCTATTTCAATAGGGTTCGTCCTTGGACCAAATAATTGACATGTGCCAAATTTCCTCCAAATCGGATCATAAATGTGACCGGTACTTTGTTCACAAAAATACATGGACGGACATGCATAAATCGACTCAGAAAGTATTCTATGTATATTTTCAAAAGTAACCATGGGCCTACCGCGATTCCTTTTGCCTGTTACAAGCATATTCACAAAGACATAATACCCTGTACCACAGTGAAGGTGAAGGGTATAAAAAGCGTTAAATTCGTCCGAACCGAACTTTGAATAAATGAAAATATAGGTAACATACCAAAAAGTATACTAATACCGACAATTCTACAAACCGATTTATGTTAACCGCAATGTACACCAAATACAAATGTCAGCAATTTTAAGGAAGATTTTTCCAAAAACAAAAACCCAAAAAGTGGACATATATTGACGACGCATGGGAGTGTGGAACATCCCCAAAATACTGCAATTTAGAGAGCACAATTATATGAGGCCATCACCAACGTACACAGGTTTTATTTCGGGGGGTTGGGTGGAATCAGCTGGTTCAATATGAAAATTATCATTGCAAAAAAAAAATGAATGCGTACCTCCTTGGAGCCTATACTTAAGGCGGGAACAATTTTTTTACATCCTGTAGGAATTACCGAACATTTGTAGTTATCATTATATGAGTTGCTATGCCTAATTGAGGACCGATATAGCTCAATCTCGGAACTAACATGTTTGCATGACAATACCTTCGGTAGGTATCATTATATGGGGGCTAGGCCTGAATGCGGGTCGATCTAGTTCATTTTCGAACCTTACGTTCTAGTTTTTGATCACGATATCCTCCTCAGAATAGAATAATTATAATTATATTATAATATAAAACGGGGGACCATATGGGAGAGAAATTTATTTATTTATTTTTAGCACTTCTTCGAACTTTACCTGCCTGCAGACAAAGGACGACTATATGCAAAAATTTGGCGATCAATCTATTTTTTTTTAGACGCTGGAGCATTACAACAAACATATGGACAGACGGAAATGCTTAAGTAGTACAAAATGAAAAAATTCGCTGTTGCAAACAAAAAAATACTGTGAAAAAAATTCATTTCGCGCCCCCCGAGCCGCCCCCCTGCGTACGTCCCTGCCGTGGTATATATAAGTATAAGTATATATAGTAGGTACTTTGTAAGGTGTGAAATGTTTATTTCGATAAGTTTCATACCACCTCCATACTATGGCGGATGGTATAAATACGTATAATCCATTTCAAATATATTTAATTTGGTGGACGAACTTCTGGTACTACCTACCCTGAGGGGGGCCATTAATCGTATTTAAAATCGGGTCCTTTAAGAAAGTGTCAGTCGGTGTTGTTCGTTCGGAATTACACATTATTCGCTTTATATAAGGAATATATTTTTGTCAAAGAGGTTTCGCATTTAATGTTGATCGAATCGGTTTTTTTATGTGATCGCTTCAAATAAATTTTACAAGTTTATGAAGTATTTACCCTGTGTGGGGAAGGTTCCAGCAGGAGTGGACCAATTACATTGTCAATTTTCTGTAAACATGTTTTCATCCTCTAAGGGATGAAAATACGAGGTGGTAATTCACAATACCG